CTCCTCCTCCTCCCCCCCCTCCTCGGGCGGCGGCGGGACGACGGGCTCGGCGCCGTAAGCGCTGGGCGCACCAGCGAGGCCGCCGCCAGCGGCGCCGTCGAGGCGCGGCCGCCTCGCGCCGCACGCCTCGCACGCCCGCCGCGAGAGGCTGTTCACGAGCGTGCAGGCCTCGGCTGCGGGCAGTGGTGGCCCTGCGCAGGAGTGCCCCACGGTGCGCGGCTGCAGGGGGGCCACGGTGGGGGCAAGTCCGAGCGCGCAAGCCAGTGCTGGGGGGGGCACTGGTGGGGGGGCGCCTCTGGGCCCGCACCAGAGGGTCACTCTGGCGAGGGGTCACTCTTGCGTGTGACCGAAGGCCGCGCAGGCCCACGCGGCGTCCTCGCCGCACTCGCGGGCGAGCGGGAGCGCCTCGCCCAGCCTCCAGGGCTCTCGGGCCAGGCGGGGGGGCAGCCCACGCAGCTGCGGCAGCCAGCGCTTGACGTAGGCCGCGGTGGGGTCGTGGTCCCGGCCCCACTCCAGCACCTGCGTGGCCATCAGGAACGGGGAGTAGCGAGGCAGGGTGTAGCGGGGGCCCCCGCCAGGGCGGTCGTCCTCTCGGGCGGGGAGTTGCGTGAGGATGAAGTACGCCCAGTTCCCCCAGTTCAGGACGCAGTCGTAGTCCAGCAGGCGGCTCTCGAACCATTCGGCCGCCAGCCGCCAGTCCAGCCGGAGGTCCCGCACGAAGAACCAGCCCACCGTCTCCCGGTTCAGGTGGTGCATGAAGCCGGTGCTCCGCAACTCCAGCATCGCCGCGTCGACGAACGGATAGCCCGTGCGCCCCTGAGTCCACCGCGCGAGCCTAGCCCGGTCCCTGCCCCACTCCCACAGCCGCGGGTCGGAGCCGCCGAAGAGGTTGTTGTAGTGCTTGCAGCACCACTTCGTCGGCTCCCTGTGGCCGCCGGGGGCCGAGCCGCAGCTCATGGGGCCATACAGGTGGAACATGCGGTCACCCCACGCGTAGTGCACGATGAAGCGGTAGAAGTCCCGCCACAGTAATGAGTTCACCAAGCCACGGGCACCCTTGCACCGCTGCACCTTCTCAAAGCGGAGGATCTCTGCGTACACGAGCCTAGGGGAAAGGCAGCCGAAGGCCAGGTAGGGAGACAGCTTGGAAGTCTGGTCGCGGGATGCAGCGCACTTCCCGGCCACCGACCAGTCGGTGGTGCCGACGTACTGCCTGAGCGCCTTTGCCCCCCAGATGTAATCCTCGAGCCTCGCGAGACCCGCGCCCTCACCCCCGCGCCACGGGCACTGCGAGCGGGGGTCCCTCACCGCTGCGGCCAAGGCCTCGTCGTCGGGGAGCCCGAGCTCGGCCAGGGTCGGCAACGAGCCCCACCAGTCGCCGCCGAGCCCAGGGGGGGGCGGAGACAGCCTCAGAGCGCCGTCCGCGCCCAGGCGGCCCCTCCACTCGAAGCCCACGGGGCGTATCCTGCACCCGGCGACCTCCTTCTTGAACGCGCCGAACGACAGGTGCGGCCTCACCCACTCCCCCGGCGACCTGCGCGAGGAGTCCTCGAGGTCCTCGACGTGGTGGAGGGTGTAGCCCCAGCAGCACGACAGCTCCGCCGGCGCGCCGCGGCCCGATGCCGCTGCCAGCCCACGCAGGCTGCGCTCCACGGCGGCCTCGTGCGCCAGCTCCTCCGAGCACACCTCGGCGTAGGCGAACACCTTCACGACCTCCACGCGCACGGAGAGCTGCTCCAGGGCCTCCGCCGCCGACTGGCCGAACCGCACGCAGAGGTCCTGCCCCAGCCCGCGCAGCGTGCGGCGCAGGTCGCCCACGCACTCGAGCCAGAACGCGGCCCGCAAGGCCCCCGTCTTCGGGAACTTGCCGACCCGTGTGCGCCCGAACCAGAAGGGGTCGAGCACGTGCAGGTGGACAACCGGCAGCCGGGGGGACTCCAGGTGCGCGCGGCTCAGCGGCTCGTGGTCGTGCACCCTGAGGTCCGAAGCCTTATGCCAGACGACGTACACGCGGGGGCGGCCAGGCGAAGGCGGCGGTGGCCGCGCCCTCGCCGCGCTGCCGTGCTCGCCTGCCCCGTGCGCGGCCGCGTGCGGCGGCGCCAGCGGCGACTGCGCAGCCGGGGGCTCCGCCGCCGCCAGCAGCCCGACCCGCGTCTCGACGGCCTCCGCCTCCGCCGGCCGCGGCCGCGGCCGCGCCGCTGCGCCGGCGCCGCGCGCGCCCGCCCAGCGGCGCGGCGGGCCGTCTGGGCGCGGCTGCAGGCCGCCCTGGCGCGAGTCGACCAGCGGCCGGCCCACTGCGCTGGACATCGCGCGCGGCGCGGCAGCGCACGCAGAGCGGCGGCTGCGGCCGCGGGCCCAGCACCGCCCGCCCGTCCTCGGCCGCTCGCCTCATGTCCGCCTCCCCTGCCCTCCGTTCCGTGTCTGCAGGAGGCGCCTCGGAGGGAGGCCCTGCCTCGGCCACGCACCGGACGCTCCACCATCAGGGCACGCATCCACCTGGTTTTGCACCGCACATCCTCGGGGTGCGCTGCTTAGGATTGCTGGCAACCTCAAGAAATCGACGGTTCTCTGATATGGTTCCTTATCACCTCTGGCGCACTTTCAGCAAAACCGTCCCCCTCCCTCATACTCGACATGCATTGCCTCCCCCTCGCACCCGTCCCGCATCCTCGTCACCCAGACCAGATTAAGTCGAACACCCATCGTCGCCCTGGCAGCCTCTCGAATCTTGGCCAAAGTCCTGCCCAGAAGCGGAGGAACCCGACGAATCGAAGCTTTAGCCAGTGGGTTCGTTTTCGCACAACCCGCGAGACCCGGAGTGAGGCTAACGCTGACCGAAACGTAATGGCCAGATCCCCCAAGCAGGTTGTGCGTAAAGCCCAGGCTCCGCACAGGAGGGCATCCTGGCAAGAGAGAACCGCCTCGCGGGACCCGTGCAAGATCAGGAAGCGCTGGGGTGCCGAATGCATGCTCAGCCCAAGCAGATATCGCCAGCTACTCCGCCACATAACCTGTGCCCCGTCTACCGCAGAAGTATAAACATAACCAAACAAAACAACAGACAACAACAACCACATCAACAACACAACCAATACAAATATTACAACAGCAGCAACAACAACGATAACAACAACAACAACGACAACAACAACAACAACCACAACAACAACAGCAGCAGCAACAACAACAACATCATAAACAACAACAGCGATAACGACAACGACAACGACAACGACAACGACAACGACGACCACAACAACCACATCAACAACAACAGCAATAACAACAATAACAACAACAGCAACAGCAACAGCAACATCAACAGCAGCAACGGCAGCAACAGCAACAACAACAATAACAACAATAAGTTTCAAGACTGTTGGCTCTTATCTGCTCGCGGGCCACTCAGCACGTATATCCCCAACCCTCGATACCCGCCATCTTCGTCTTCGATCGTACCCCCTTAGGGTATATATCTTTCTCACATGCAATGTGCATTTCGTGCAGCCCCTGAGGCAGGGGAAGAGAGGATGGATGGAAGGAAGGGATAAGGGGGAAGGAGGATGGATCGCGAAAGAGAGAGCAGGAGGGGGGCCAAGAGCAAAAAACACGTGGCAGAATCAGGCGGGCAGACCTGGCGGATAAGCCCCAACAGGCGGGTCGGAAAGGCGGGCCCAGGCGGCCAGGTCGAGCAGGCGGGTTGCTGAAGCGTGCGTCCTGCATGAATCGCGGGGAAGTCTCGAGCGATAGCGCGACTTCCAAATAAATCGTGAGGAATTCCACAGCGAGAGCGTGATTCCTGAATGTTGAAGGCGCGGCGTCTGAATACATCGTCAGGAAGTCCCAAGCGACAGCGCGATTCCTGCCATAAATTGTGAGGACGTCCCGCGCGGGAGCGCGATGTGGGAATACAGTGCGAGGAAATATCAGGCGGGAGCCGTTGTTGCTGTTGCTGTAAGCCGGGGGTCAACAAATCAATTCGGAGACCCAGGATTTTCCTTGCAAGAAAACCGGGTGCGAGCCCCTGGAAGGGCACTTCAATTGAAACACGCAGTAGGCCCTGAGGGGGGGGCATCAATAATAATGATTCTATAGAAATGAAAATTCAACAACTACGACAACAACAACAACAACAACAACAACAACAACAACAACAACAACAACAACAACACCAATCACTTTAAGACTGTTCGCTCTTATCTGCTCGACCGTCATACATCGTGTATTTCCCAAACCCTCGATACCCGACGTCGACCCTCGTCGAAACTGGAAGCCGACTCGCCGCGCCGCCCAGCTTGGACTCGCACGCCGCTCCAGAGACGCCATCTCTTCGCAGCCAGCGCATCAGCCCCGCCCGCGGCGCGATCGGAGGGCGCGCGCCTCCCATGCCCGTGGTCCTGGGCTCCCGCCAGCAGTGCCGCTTCCGAGATTGATGGCGTTGTGCATCCGTGCGGGCCGCGACGGGAGCGGCAAGCCTGGGAGGAGGAGGAGGAGTAGGAGGAGGAGGAGGAGGAGGAAGAAGATCGTGCGCCACTGAGGGAGGGCGAGGGAGGGCGAGGGAGAGGTCCCACAGTCCAGCCGAACGTGCGCCACTGAGGGAGGGCGAGGGAGAGGAGGGAGGAGGTCCCACGGTCCAGCCGAACAGCCCCTCCAGGGGGGGGGGGCCTTCGGAGAGGACCTTTTTACCTCCACGGTGCGGCCCTGGGCCAATCGCCCCGTTGGCCAGCGGCAGGGCCCCCCAGGAAGGAAGCTCGCCGTCCAAATCAAGGTCGGGCAGGTCGTCCTTCCTCTTCTCCTTGAGGCGGCTTGCCCAGACCTCGAGCCTCGTCTTCGTTCAGGCCGAACACTTGGAGGCAAGCAGCAAAGCACAAGTCGTGCCTCGTTGCCCTCGACGGGCCGGGAGGGGGAAGAAGAGGAAGAGGGGGGGCAGGAGGCGGAGGAGGACTGGGATGGGGGAGGAGCGTAAGCGGGAAGGCTTCCCCGCAGACGCCCCGCGCGGCCTCTGGGAGGCGCCAGGGCTCCGGTCGCCGAGCCTCTCCTGGCGCGTCCGCCAGCGGACGCGGACGGGCGAAGGGGGAAGACCGAAGAGGACGAAGAGGGCGAGGGCGAGAGAGAAGAGTGTGAGGAGAGGGCGAAACGGGCGAGTGGAGGGCGAGGTGAGGAGAGGGGAGCACTTGTGCGAGGGCGAGGAGAGGGCGAAGAGGTGAGGGGAGCACCTCCTCCTCCTCCTCCTCCTCCTGATCCTGATCTTCCTCCTCCTGATCCTCCTCCTCCTCCTACTCCCTCCCTCCCTCCCTCCCTCCCTCCCTCCCTCCCTCCTCTCTTCTCCACCTCCTCCTCCTCCTCCTCCTCCTCCTCCTCCTCCTCCTCTTCCTCCTCCTCTTCATCCTCCTCCTCCTCCTCCTCCTCCTCCTCCTCCTCTGCCCTCTCCTTTTCGCTAGCTTCCGTTCCCACAATCTCCACAGCCCCCCTGGCCCATCCCTACTCCTCCTCAGATCCCCCTTATCTCCTCCTCTTCCTCCTCCTGATCCTCCCCTCCTCCGCCTACTCTTCCTCCTCCTCCCTCCTCCTCCTCCTCCTCCTCCTCATCCTCCTCCTCCTCCCTCATCCTCATCATCATCATCATATCATCATCATCATCACATCATTCATCATCATATCATCATCATCATCATCATCATCATCATCCATCATCATCATCATCCATCATCATCATCATCCATCCCCCTCCCCTCCTCGTCCTCCTCCTCCTCCCTCCTCCTCCTCCGACTCCGACTCCGACTCCAAACTCTATCCCCCCCCTCCTCCTCCTCCTCCCATCCTCCTCCTCCTCCTCCTCCTGCTCCTACACCTCTTCCACGTCCTCCTCCTCCTCCACCTCCTCCTCCTCCTAATCCGCCTCCTCCTCCTCCTCCTCCTCTTCCTCCTTCTCCTCCTCCTCCTCCTCATCATCATCATCATCATCATCAGCATCATAATCAGCATCAGCATCATCATCATCATCATCATCATCAGCAGCATCATCATCAGGAGGACGATCAATAGATGGAGGAGAAGGGGGTAGGGGGAAGAGGAGGAGGAGGGAGAGCAGGAGGGACAGGCAAATGAGAAGTTGGATAAAGAGATGGGGGAAGGGATGTGCGAGGACGAGGGGGAGGAGACCGAGGGAGGGGAGGTGTGGACGACGTGGGCAAAGGACGGGCGGGTGGATGGAGGAAGAGGTGGACGAGGGAGCAGGGAAGGGGCAAGAGGATGAATTGAGAAGGAGGGAAGAGGAGGAAAAGAAGAGATGAGCGAAGGTTAGCGGGGGACGGAGAGGTGGACGTAGAGGACGGAAAGGAGGCGTACGTGAAGGGAACGGTGGACAAACGAGGGGGTGGGGAAGTCCACGAAAGGGGTCCGACATGTCTCGATACCTTCATCCCCCATCTCGTCGCGCTGCACCTCCACCCGCCACCCCAACCAGGCAGCCCGTGCGCAAACCGCCCCCGCCTCGCCGACCTGCTGCCATAGTGCCCTCCTGTGCCGCATCCGACTTCACGTCCTGCTCATCTCTATCAGCAGCGGCATCATCATTCCCATGACCGTCATCGTCGTCGTCGTCATCCTCCTCATCATCGGAATCAGCATCATCATCAACATCATCATCATCATCATCATCATCATCATCATCATCATCATCATCATCATCATCATCATCATCATCATCATCATCATCATCCTCAGTATCATTATCATGATCATCATCATCAGCAGCACCATCAGCAGCACCATCGTCGTCACCATCACAACCACAACCACCATCACCACCACCATCATCAGCAGCAACAGCATCGTCATCGTTGTCGTCGTCATCATCAGCAGCATCATCACCATCACCAACATCGCCAACAACCTCGTCGTCACCAGGTATCACAATTATCAGCACTATACTCATCATCGTCATCCCACCTTCGACAGCCCTCACCCCAACATCATATTCATCAGCAGCATCAGCCCCAATTTGATCAACCTACCTCCCTAAATGTCTCTCTTGCTTTCTCTCTCTCTCTCTTGCCCTCTCTCTGCTGCCTTTCCCTCTCTATATGTCTCGTTGTGTCTCTCTCTCTCTCGCTCTCTCGCTCTCTCTCTCTCGCTCTCTCTCTCTCTCTCTCTCTCTCCCTCTCTCCCTCTACTTGTCTCTCTCTCTCTCTCTCTCTCTCTTTCCCGCGGTCTCTCTCTCTCTCTCTCTATCTCTCTCTTTCTCGCGGTCTCTCTCTCTCTCTCGCTCTCTCTCTCTCTCTCCCTCCCTTGTCCCCGTCTCTCTCTCTCTCTCTCTCGCTCTCCCTCCCTCGCTCTCTCTCTCTCTCGCTTTGTTTATCTCTCTCTCTCTCTCTCTCTCTCTCTCTGTACATATATATGCGTGTGTACTACTTATATTCTCTCTAACTCTCTAACTCTCTCTCTCTCTCTCTCTTTCTATATCGTTTTCTTCCACGTTCTCTCTGCCTCTCGCCCTCTCTATCTTTCTCTTTCTCTCTCTCTCTCTCTCTCTCTCCTTCCCTCGCTCTCTCCGTTTCTCTCCGTGTGTGTGTGTGTTTCTCTCTCTCTCTCTCTCTCTCTCTCGCTCGCTCGCTCGCTCGCTCGCTCCCTTTCTCCGTCGCTGACTCTGACTCTCTCACTCTCTCTCTCTCTCTCTCACTATCTCCCTCTCTCTGTCTCTCTGTCTCTCTCTCTCTCTTTCCGTCTCGCTCTCTCTCTCTCTCTCTGTCTCTCTCTCTCTCTCACTCTTTTCTCTCTCTCTCTCTCTTTCTGACCCTGCTGGTTGCACGAGACCCCCACCACGCCCGCCCCGCCGCCATCGGAGCGGCCCCAGTTGGGCGGGCCAGGCTCCGCCGTGCGGGCCCCTACTACTCCGAGGCAGCACAGCCCAGCCGCAGGTGCAGCGCCAGCCGCGCCGCGGCCCGCTAGCCCCGACACCACCCACACCGCACACAGCGCGAGCTGGTACAGCGCCGACGACGCCAACGCGTGGGCCACCTGGCAGCGGGGATGGAGCCCACAGCTGGAGCCACCAGCAGTCTGCCCACGCGGCCACGGGCTGGTCGCCCAGCGAGGACGCGCCGCAGCGACGCCCCAGCCAACACGGGGCCCAGCCGTGGCGGCCCGTCCGAGGGCGCACGCCCCCGCAGCACGCCCCGGCCGCGGCGGCCCCCGCCCCCCCACCGCAGCCGGGGGCGGCCGCAGTCGGCCCAGCCCTGCCCGCGGAGCCCCTCGCGCGACGCCAGAAAACGCCGAGCGGAGCACCGCCGCCAGGACGCCGCCCGCCGCGAGGAGGCTTGGCGCGCCCCGACGGGCCCGGGCACCGATGGGGCCCCAGATCCCGCTGCGAGCGATGTCAGCTCGGCGGCGGGTCCAGGGGCCACGGGAACAGCCAACGGCAGCGGTGGCCCTGCCGCCCCGACTGCCCCCGCTGCCGGCGACGGCGACGGCGGCGCATCACCAGCCCAGAGCGGCCGCCAGCTTCGGTCGCCGTGCCCAGCGGCCGCACCGCCGCCGGGGCGCAGCACCAGCCCGCGCCACCACACTGCGGGTGAGGTCACGCCGCCGTCCGCCGAAACAGTTGCAGATGCAGGAACAGTCAGTACCGCTGACAAACAGGCCCAATCGTCCCCAACAGGCCTGGGGGCTTACACAACAGGCTTCACGCCCCGACGCGACCAGATGAACAACCCTCCAAGGTTATCTCCAGACCCTCCTCGACTGCTGAAGGGCGGCACACCAGTGCTAGCCTCCATCCACGCGGACCGCGAAACAGTTGGAACCCGCTCCGTTGTCTGCCTCTTCTGGGCCGCTGCGGGGGATGCCCCAAGACGGCGCCTCTTTTCGCAGGGCGCCGAAGCTCGCATGCCAACCCACGCGTGAGGCCGGTGCCTCCCTGCGTACGGTGTCGCAGACGGGCCTTGGTGGGGTCTGATTACCGCCGACCGTGTTGTTTGTCCAGCCTGGGACCCTGCTGTCCGCGCCAGCGCCAGGGGAGAGGTCATCCCACCACTCCAGTTTAACGAGCGGCACCTCCCGCTGCGAGGCGGGCCCACAGAGCACGCGTGGCGAGCACGCGTGGTTGGGCCCAGACGACGTTGCCGTCGGATGTGGTGCGCTCTCTCTCTCTCTCTCTCTCTTCTCTCTCTCCCTCTCTCTGTCTCTCTCTCTCTCTCTTCTCTCTCTCTCTCTCCTTTTTTCTCTCTCACTCTCTGTTTTTGTTGTTGCCTCCCTCTCCTTTTCTCTAGCTATGTTTTTATGGATCTCTCTCCCTGGTTTAAACGTCATGTGGAAAGGGCCAGAAGAATCTTGATGTCCTCCTTCTTTTCACCCTGCATCTCCTCTACCTCTTCTCTTCCCTCATCCTCCTCCACGGCTGGGAAGCACAACAGGAGAATGAGGAGGAGGAAAAGGAAGGATAATCCCCAAACTCCTTTTCCTCCTCATCCCTCCTTCCCTTCCTTCCCCTTCCTCCCTTCCCTTCTCACTCCGCTCCCTCACTCCCTCTCCGCTTATCATCATCCCTCCTCTTCCTCATCTTCCTTCTCTTCCTCTTCATTATGATCCTCCTCCACGTTCATATTCTCCTCCCTCATCTCCTATTATCGAATTCTTACCAGAAGGAGACCGACTAAGGAACAAAGCTCGTGTTTGGCTCACTTTCGCCCTGATTGACGGTGAACGCCCATGGAAGAGAAAGCCCCAGGAAGTAGCAACAGAACAGGAATGCAAAGGAAGTAGCGAGGGATACTTCTGCCTCTTTCGAAACCAAAGTGCTATCGATTCCAACGTGTTGACCATCCCTCCTCCTCCTCCTCCTCCTCCTCCTCCTCCTCCTCCCTCCTCTCCTCCTCCTCCTCCTCCTCCTCCTCCTCCTCTGTCTCCTCAAAAGCCTCCTCCTTTTCCTCCTCCTCCTCCTCCTCCTCCTCCTCCTCCTCCTCCTCCTCCACCTCAACATCCTCAACGTGCTCCTCCTCCTCCTCCTCCTCCTCCTCTTCCTCCTGCTCTCACCTCATAATGACAGGAGGAGGGTTGCCAACAAAGACGGGGCAAAACGCTGAGCGGCGCTCTCCTCCAGCCGGTCGCCCATGGTCTTCCAGCTGCCCACCCTCATGGCGTCAGAGTGGAGCTGCAGCAGGTCCTCTCGAGCCCCGTCTTTGATGACGGGAGAGCAAACATGGCCCCAGCTGACAATCTGACGTCTCGGCGCCCGAAAAAGGCTCTCTCGCTCTGTGTCGGGCCCTGGGACCCCCTAGGATCCTCCAGCTCGTAAAATGACCGTAGCGTTCCAAGAACACTGGGGATGTCTTCGCATAGGGAGGGTGAACCACCTACTTGTTCAAGATCGGATAGCTCTTCCCGCGAATGTCCTTCGCCGCTGGCACTGTGGCGATCCTTGCCTGCTCGAACCGCATCTACTGCGCGTAATGAAGTGTACAAAGTGGGACAAGGCGGCAGCGATTCGGGATACATGTGATCTCCGTGGAATTCAAATGTCGGGCGGAGGGGTGTAACCGATTCTGCCGCAAAACGCCCCGCCCGCGGACCGCTTCGCTAAGACGGGACCCTTCGCCCAGGTCGCTTCGCCCACGACCCGCCTCGCCGGCCAGCCGCCTTGTCGGCGGGCCGCTTCTTCAGAATGCCGCTTCGACGGCAGACCGCCGGCTGCTCGCTTGCGCGATGGCATGTCCGGTTGCTTGCGCGATGGCATGTCCGCTGTGATGTCCTGCCTTCCCGTCAGGGTCCACCCGCCCACGCCCCCGCCCGCCCGCGCTTTACGCCCCGCCCGTCCTCCCGCTCGCTTCCGTGATGGCCCGCCCGCCTGTTCGGATCTGCCGCGCCCCCCCCCCGCCGCTCACAGCCCGCCCGCCTGTGCCAGCCCTCTGCCTTTGGCACGATGGCCCACCCCGCCCGTTGCGTCACGGTCCGCCAGCCCGCCCCTGAACGCTCTCACGGTCAGCGCCTGCCCGCCCACCCGCTCCTCCTCCTCCTCCTCCGCCTCCTCCGCCTCCTCCTCCTCCTCCTCCTCCTCCTCCGCCTCCTCCTCCTCCTCCTCCTCCTCCTCCTCCTCCTCCCCCTCGTCGTCCTCCAAATCCCGCTCCTCCTCCTCCTCCACCTCCTCCTCATCCTCAATGTGTTCCCTTATAAATAAGTTCTCCCTGTCACACCCCGAGGCAAGTTTTTAGGGCGGGCCGGGCGTTTCGCCTGAGACTCCCTTACAATTCATGACCCTGAACCGTAAAACATGGCAGCAGCTTCACAGATGGAAGGCGGGTGGTCTTCAAAATGTGGCTCTCGCGTTAGCGCCGCGCACAGTCGTTTAACAATTTGCAAGAGCTTCATAGATTGAGGGCGGGTGGTTTTCAAAATGTGGCTCTCGCCACAGCGCTGCGCACATTCTTTCTTAACACATGGCAAGAGTTGCACGGATTCAGGGCGGGTAGTTTTCAACAAGTGGTTCTCGCCTTAGCGCCGCGCATGTTCGTTTTAACAACTTGCAAGAGTTTCACGGATTGAGGGCGGGTGGTTTTCAAAACGTGGCTCTCGCCTTAAGGCCGCGCGCATTCGTTTGAACAATGTGCAAGAGTTACACGGGTTGAGGGCGGTTCTTTTTCAAAATGTGGCTCTCGACTCAGCGCCGCGCATATTCGTTTTGAGCATGCGCAAGAGATTCACGGATGCTCATGTTCAACGTACCAGGCATGGTGTTTTGGAAGGGTTCGGGCTTATGCGGGTGCAACAGCTATGTTGAATCGCCGTGCTGAAATCCCAAAAACAACGTTCTGGCACAATTCCAGATCGTCAGGAGGTAGCAGTCAGGTTGATCCGTGGCGTGAAAATCCCAAGAACAATGTTTTGGCGTGCTTCGAGAAGGTCTTCAAACGGTTGTCTTCCAACGAGGCAGTTCCCTCAATGGAAATGAACCTTTGTAGGGGCCTGGAGGGAGCTTAGAAGGAGGGTTAATTCCAACGTCGTTGATGACTCCAGGGCTTACACAAGCCCTCCTCCTCCTCCTCCTCCTCCTTCTCCTCCTCCTCGTCCTCGTCTTCGTCGTCCTCCTCCTCCTCCTCCTCCTCCTCCTCCTCCTCCTCCACCTCCTCCTCCTCCTCCTCTCCTCCTCCTCCTCCTCCTCCTCCTCCTCCTCCTCCTCCTCCTCCTCCTCTCCTTCCTCTTCTTCTTCCTCCTTCTCCTCCTCCTCCTCCTCCTCCGTTTCCTGTTCCTCCTCCTCCTCCTCCTCCTCCTTTTCCTCCTCCTCCTCCTCCTCTTCCCCCTCGCCCGTCCTCCCTCTCGGCCGATAGCAGACGGCCCCTGGCACCCGGGCCCCTGCCAGCTCTCCTCGACGGGGCGGGGGAACGCCTCCCGTTTCGGCCGTTGGGTTCCTTGCGCCGCTGCCTGGCGCCGGGGACGCTCGGAGAAAAACGGACCACGGCCATGGAGATCCAATCGGGGGTGGGCCGACTCTTAGGGGGCGCCACGCCACAGCGCTACTCAGGCGTGCCACAGCCCAGGGGTCGACCCAGCCCCGACTGGTTCTTACCGGCGGTGGTCCGTTTCTCCCCTAGAGGCTGCGGCACCCGAGGGCGGAATGGCGCCGATCGACTGGCCGATCATTCTGATCGACGAACCAATCAACCAGCCGATCGAATACGGTCGGCCCGACAAGACTCGTCAAAACAAAGTCGGCGCTGTGTGTTTTCGGCGCTCGCGCGGTCGGCGCAGCTTCAATGCTGGCATGGGGCGTTTGGCCTTCACCCTAACATACTTATACTATCTGTGCGTCGCCCCCCGGGGGGCGATGCGCGCACCGAGAAATCTTATAGTATATGCGTCGTGGCGGGCGCTTTCTGGCCACACCGCTCGGGAAACAATATACTACAAGATGGGTATACTATATGTTTGGGTCGGACGCGCGCCTCCAAGAATAACATATAGTACTAGTATGTCTCTGTGCGTCCGCAGGGGTGCCCGAAATTCGGCAGCGCCCTCGCAACACTGAAGAACCCGTTTTCTGACAAGCGCCCAAACTGTCGGAGGCGTCGATGTGGAACGTCTGCTCCAATCGTGTTTGGCGAGGCATGGCCGCGGTGTCTTCCGGCGTGGGCCCCAAAAACAATACGGGTGGGCCCTCTGCCGATGAAGCACGCGCGGCGCCATCTGCGCGGCGCAGGCCTCGCGGTGCCACGTACCCGAGATTTCGTCATAAAGGGAGGGGGGTCTCATTTCGGGGGGGGGGTCTCTTCCAGGCTATCTTGGAGGGCCTGGGGGGCTCTGGGGACGATGTTTTGGAGGGTTCTCCCACGGGGAAGGTCTAAAGTGGCTTGTCTTGGAGGGTCCAGACCCCCTCCCTTTTATTACAAAATCTGGAGTACGCGTCGCGCGCGCCAGTGTCTGGACAGCGAGGTGCAAGCGCTGTTTGGGGACGCTGACACAACGCGCGGGCCTCTGCCGCGACGGGACCACGGCGCGCCCAGGCACCGCACGCGCAAGGCCCGAAGTCAATGCTGCGTCCTGCTCCTGTTCAGCTAGACGACGTCGCGGGCCCAGCGATGCGAGGGTGTATGCCCCACGCGAAACAGCCCACATCATGTTGCGCAGAAGTTCTCAGAGCCCACGGGCGTCGCCGCGGCACATTTCCACAATGCCGCTCCCTGGCTGCGTCTGCCTTTCACAACGCTACTACCTTTAGGTCGGGCATGTCCTCCTACACGCGGGTGAGGGAACAAAACAGAAAAACGAAACAGCAAAAACATCAGCACAATCAAAAAAGCAAGAAAAATCGCCACCATCAAATTTTCACTATTCCTGAGTATTCCTCCTGTAAAGCGACATGCCCGACCTAATACGACCTGACCGCGTCCACCGCGCTGCGTTTCTTTTTACAAGGGATGGCGGCCGGGTAGTTGCGCAAACACCCCGCAACTGCCCAGCCACCGCCCACCCGACCTTGTTGTTTGATACGGGTGACAATCATCGATGCTGCGGCGATGTTTTCACGAAGCAACTACCCGGCTGTGCCCACCACACCTCGATTTGTTGTTGGATTGGTGAATCGGGTACTTGGGTGCTTGCTTTTTTAGAAACCGAAATCGTTCAAAATCCTACGAGCACCCAAGCACCCAGCCCCTCATCCCTGGTGTAAAACAAGGAGCGGCGGGAACAGCCGGGTAGTTGTTGTGCACAAATGCATCACCGCAGCATCGGTAATTGTCATCCGTATCAAAAACAAAATCGAATGGACGGTGGCTGAGTACGTGCAAGGCAATTGCGCAACTACCCGGCCACCAACCCGTGTAAAACATGCAGCGCGGTGGGCGCCACCAGGTAGTTCAGCAGCGAAAAATGCGCCCTGGCGAAGTCGAGCGGACATGGGCGTAGAGCGACCGTGCGCGCAACTGTCGAAGCTTGACCACGAATACTGGGATGGCTGCGATGGCGACTACGGCGATGATGCCTGCGACGGTGGCAACCCCGATGATGATGCCGATGCCTTGCCTGCCTCGTCTCCCCCGCCCAGGTCCGTTCAGCGCAGCGCGAGGCGGCGGCGACCTAGTCGCCCGCGACCAGCCTCTGCTTGAGGTCCACGAGCTCTCCCGGAGTCCGCGCGCCGCTGCCGCTGCCGAACGAGCTTTTCGACCAGCTCGCCGACGCAGTCGCTCGCCGTGCGGGCCCTCGTTGGGCGCGGGCTGGCCACCCTCTGACCCGGGCCCCGGGCCTCCTGGAGCGCCCTGCGGCTCGGCCGGCTCGGCAGCGGGCGCGTCGAGAGTCTGCCTCCCTTCGAGGTGAAGCCTGGCGGCGCAGCGGGCGCAGTGCCTCAGGATCTCCTGCCGCCCCTCTGCGGGAGCGGTGCACGTGCAATACAAGTAGCGGGCGCGCGGGTCCATCTGATCCGTTTCATAATTGTCCTCCCGCTTGTCGCGGACCAGCTTGATCCTGTCGGGCGCAGTGATCAGGACCAGCGTGGCCCTCCCTTCAAGCGGACGAGAACGTAATGAGCATTATCGAATGGAAGCAAGCTTGACGCCTACAAGCGAACAGACTCGTCAAATATAAATTGACTGTTATTGCTTTCGGCGCGTGCGCGGTCGGCGTCACTTCAATGCTGGCGTTGGGCCCACGCGCAGGGGTGTCCGAAATGCGGCAGTGCCCTCGTAGCATTGAAGAAAGCGCTTTCCTGACAAGTGCCCAAACTATGGGGCGCTTCGATTTTGAACGACGCGTCGATGTACTTTTGACGACGCTTGTAGGACATAATAACATACTTCAAGAGCATGAGACCCTCCGCTGGCCAAACTGAAGAACGTTCGAGGGTACCTTCCACCAGGATGCACAAGAACATCAAACAAATACGAAGAACTGTAGGGTACCCTCCCAGAACCAACCTCGCTCTTATACCTCGGGCCGACCGTAATGGATTGGTTGATCGATCGATCGACAGATCCTTCTGCTGACTGACCGGCAAGTACCCGCCCTGCCCCACAGGAGGGCTGCGCGGAGAAGGAAGCAGATCAGGCGGCACGGTCCGTCCTGAATATCGACGCGGTCAGCCGGGCACGGCACCTCTTGCACCTCAGCGGTGCTCGCTGGTATGTCTCCTCGCCTGCCTTCCTCCTCGTGCACCTGCTCCTGCTCGACATCATGATCGTTGTGGCCACCATCAGCTATCATCGCTACGCATCCCCGGCACCCTGATCGCTGTCGCCTCCGTCTCCGCTATCGTCACGGTCATCGTCGCAATGCCCTCGTTGCTGCCTGCTCGGTCTACGCGTTTGCTCGAGCACTTGGCGCACGAGTACCGCCAGGGGCCCCCCGAGAGCGCCTCCCCCGTTTGCCCCGAGGAGCCCGTGCGAGCCTCCAAGCATGGTTGGGAAGCCTCTGCGGAGGCGTCCCGACACCTTCCGTGCACCCCGAGGCCTCCTGGACGAACCAGCACACGTCCGCTCTCTCCTACTCCTCCGATTCCGTGGCGCGGTTGGGGCCAATGAATCCTAGGGGGCCCCCTGGCCCGTCCGACGCCGTCGGAAGCCGTCTTGGGGGCCTCGCTCAACCGACTTGGGGCCCTCTCGGGGTGCTCCGGGGCCGTCTTGGAGGCCATCTTGGGCGTCTTGGAGGCCTCTTCGGCCGTCTTGGGGCCCTCTTGGGGCCGTCTTGAGGGCCTCTTGGGCCGGTCTGGAGCCATGTTGGGTCTCGCGGCACACTCGCAACGCTCCGAGGCCAGCTGGACGCCCGTCTGCGAGGCAGGGAGGACCCGAAGAGCTGCAGGAGCCGCGCGCGGGGTCCTCCCCCGGGCGGCGCTCTCCTCCGCACGCCGGGGGGGGGCGTCCACGAGGCGGGCGGCCCAGAAGAGGGGGGCGGGGGGGGGGAGGGGAGGGTCGCAGAGCAGGGCCCGAGGCACGTGCGCGGAGGATGGGGGGGGGGATCTGACGGGGGGCGCGCGGAGGATCCGACGGGGGGGGGGGAACGGAGATCTGGCGAGACAGCCTGGCCCCTGCCATGGTGCTTGTCCACTTCCCCCATCACATCCTTCCTGGCTATTCCTCTTCTCCTGGAGGGCGCGTGTGGCCACGAACACACCAAAACATGCAGCGCCAGGAACTGCGCCGCGCACCTCCCCACAGTTGTGAACTGTTTCTTCCAACTGTTTGTGCAGAAATGGTGTTAAGAGATCGTGCGCCTTCTTTAAAGGGGCCCTGGGACACACACACACACACATAAATAGACACAAATAACAGGATTCCCCATTTTTCTCATTTTGTTATGGGTTTTCGTTTTCCCCCCCACTTCCCGTATTTTCCCATGTTTTCCTGGGAGTCGACGATTAATTGTGTCTGTGTTTCGTCCCCTCCTGATTCTTGTGGTGAGGCGGGCCTGGGGGCCTGTGAGCGCCCTGCTGTGAGGCATCATGGCCCTGGCCATGGTATCCACTTTCCCCTGGTCGCCCCCCCCCCCTCCTGTCGGAGGGAACGACAGGGGGGGGATAGCAAAGGGTAGGGCAGATAATGAGCTCACGTAGCTGATGTTCCCAGCGCCTCCCGGCGCCGGGAGGCGCCCATGTATCGAGGAATGGGCCTGGCAGCGGGGCCGAAACCAGCTGCATGCAGCAGATTTCGTACCCCCCCCTTTCCCTACTATCCCCCCCCCTCTCGTTCGGCCCGAATCCTGGACGCTCCAGAAGACAGGGGCGATGGGGGCGGCGGCGACGCGCCTCGAAGGCGTCTCGGATGAGGCGCTGGGGCGGGGCGAACGGGCGGCTTGACGCACAGCGGGGCATGTGGTGCCATCAAAGTTGATCGGACGAAGCCAGGACGAGGATACACTCAGGCGAGGATACATCGAGAACCTCAGATCCAGCAGCTTTGAAGGATGTCTCGGGCGCCGCGGCCTTCTCAGAGCGCTCGGGAACGCTCTTGGAGCGTTCCAGAACGCTCTGGAACGTATTAATCCTGTTCCCAGCCCGGCCTTTGGTGGCAACTCATGGGAGCGTCCAATACCACCTTGTCGGCTTCTGCGAGCTGACGCCAGTCGACGCTAATCGACGCTAAATCGACGCTAGTCGACGCTAGCCAACGCTAAATCGGCGCTATCTCATTGACTCACAGACGACAAACGACGCTAATCAACGCTAAAGACGGAATTCAGAATGTATACCAGGCTCCGATGAGATTTGCTACCGAACCGCCCGAGTTGAGGCCACATCGCTCGAAGAAGCTCCTGGAGTCGTGGAGCGGCGCCCTCGCTGTGGGGGCGCACACGTCTGGCTTCAGCAGGGGATCGCGCCATGTTAGCATGGCCTCGAAGCCGTCTGAGTCCAGTCCAACGCTTGGCGAGCACCTTGAAAGCAGAAGCAGGCCCAGCTTGTGCAGGCCATGCTTCCATATGCTGTTGCTGTAGTTCCAGACACAGAGCCGGATCCCGCTCGTGGGGTCATCGACGAAGCACGCACGAATCCGCACAAGCATGAATCACCGTCTGCAGTAATCCTCGAGCGCGCATTGGAAAAGCTCTAAAAATCTGTGCGCTTGCGGGCTTGTGCTCGCGCGCCTAGTGCTAGGGCCACCACTCTTTGGAGGAAAGCCCCTCGGCACGATTGATTGTGGCTGACGCTGAACCTGTCATGGAGGGGAGCGTTCAGAATTGAACAATAAGCCTCATACAGTCCAACAAAGCCGCTCGTGCCGAAAGAGCCACGCCAATTTTGACCAGGCTTGATCAAACCAGCTCGAAATATTACATCAACCCGCAAACTTGCGCTATGGTGTCTTAGAATCCTGTGACCTGTCTGGGGCGGCCTCTGTTCTTCACGGCCCCGAGCCGGCCTCAAAATGGCCCAAGAACGCTCCAAAAGGTCGCAAGATGATGCGAGTCTGCAAAAGACAACTCAAAGACCCCTCAGAGGCCCAGACATGATTTCAAGATGCCCTCATGAATCCCAAGACGTCCCCAAGAGGCCCCCGAATGACCCCAAGGAGCCCTCCAGAAAAGCCCTCCAGCAATACACTGGATTGCAAGCAGCATCTGAAAATGGACCATTTGTTCAAAGCTTCTTGGCTCCCCAAACTTTTCAACCCAAGATGCGTTCCAGCAAGGCTCAAAGGCCCCGAGACGGCCCCGGAAGGCCCCGAGAGGCCTCCAAGACGGCAAAACATTTCGCATGGATCCTCCAAAAAGTCCGAGACCGCTCCGGGGCGGCCCGAAAACCCGCCGCCCGGACTGCCCCAAGATAATTCTACCGAGCCTCTTCAGTATAGCTCTGCAGAACATGTGCGCCAAAGATGGCCCCCAAACCCTCAAAAAGCACCAAAGAGGCCTTGCAGAGCTCCCCTAGAAGAAGCCCCAAGGAGGCCCAGACGAAGCCACCAATAAGCTCGCCACCGCAACGACAGCGCATGGTTAGGGCCACGCCTCGCTGAAATATCGTAGCGTCGGTTTCCAAAGGGCACCAACATGGCTCTACAGACTTTACTGGAGAACTAGTAGAACCATCGAACTCCAAGAAGATATTCGGATCACGCGGGGGGGGCCGGAGATCCGGCGTACACATCGATACTGCGCTGGTACGGTGGCGGGGCTTGACGCAGGCAGCAGCAAGGGAATGAGGCTCCCAACTCTACAAGGGACTGCCCCATAGCAGCTCTAGCAAAACACGTTATGCAACAGAGCTGCAGCAGACGCCAAGCCCACGCTGGGTAAGATGGTCTTGGCGTTGTCGATGACTGGCGCCGGCGCTGTCGATGTGATCATGGTCACTGTGCCTGTTGTCGATGTACTCGTTGTCACCGTGCTGGTGCTGGAAGTGGCACTTGTCGTGGTTGACGTGCTCGTCGTCAACGTGCTAGTCGTCGAGGTGCTGGTCGTCACCGTCGTGGTGATCCCATACTTCTCGAAATTGTACCAATCGAGATTGTATGGTTTCTTCGACCACTGATCCTCGTGGAAATTGCCGCACGTCTCGCATCCGAGTTGCATCACCTGGTATCCCAGAAAGACGCCAGAAAGGGCCATCCTATCCAAAAAACTACCCATTTTCGAATCGCACGATTCCCACTCGCTGCTCCCTGGATCCGCGCTTGTATAAGAGGCTACTTCGGTGAGCCACAATTTCTTGTTGTACTTTTGCGCCATCGCAACAGTGTGTTCAAGGCATCCCTCATCAGCACTCCACCCAAACTCCCACGATCCGTCTACATCGTGCCCAGTGCACCCTGGCTCACTGCCGGTCATGTACTCGTCGAAGAATTGGTGCATGCTGTAGGCAGTTCGATTGGCGGTGTCTCTAAGCGAGAACAGCGCAAGGTTTCCGGCGCGATCATAACCCTCCAAGTTCTGCTCGCCCCAGGTCTCGGCACCAGTCCAGAGCCGACAACTGGACCCTTCCAGACCTGGCACAAGGACGTAGTTGTCTGCTCCCTGAGAACGGATCGTATTGATCGCTTCTTGACACCACTGAAGCCAAGCTCTCGCAAATCTGCCCTCGCTGTCACTGCCTGAGTAAGAGGTGCCGAAGAAACCTCCGTAGCCCTCATCGACCGTGTACGTACCACAATCGCCGTCGTGGCAGCCGTACAGGGGGTAATTAAAGAGCTCGAAAATCACGCGGTCATTTGACGCAAACTGCTTGGCGATTGCAGTCCAGAGGTTGATCCGACATCGTACCCCTGGCACGTTGAGCCGCGGTGGAATGCTAGATCAGTGCTGTCTGGCAGAATTTCTGAAAGTCTTCCAAGGGGCCTCCCCTATACTCGATGGGGTGCCGCGTGCACCGCCGACCCTCTCGAGGCCACGATCCCTCATAACTAAAAAGAATGCCTGGCGAAAGACCCAACCATATGCAGTTGTGAGCACCGTCGCTGTATGCACCACATTCGGAGGAGCTCCCCATGGGGCCACGAAACGTGTGAGGGGTGTGCCCAGATGGGTGCGGTGGGCGCATGCGAACGCTGGCATTTGGGCCTTCGGTGGGGCTCCCTATGGGGCCCCGAAACGTGTGAGGGGCGTGCCACATGCACGCGGTGGGCGCATATGCTGGCATTTGGGCCTTCCATGGGGCTCCCTATGGGGCCCCGAAACGTGTGAGGGGCGTGCCAAAATGGGTGCTGAGGGCGCATGCGAACGCTGGCATTTAGGCCTTCCATGGGGCTCCCTATGGGGCCACGAAACGTGAGAGGTGTGCCCAGATGGGTGCGGTGGGCGCATGCGAATGCTGGCATTTGGGCCTTCGGCAGGTCTCCCTATGGGGCCACGAAACGTGTGAGGGGTGTGCCAAATGGATGCGGTGGGCGCATACGCTGGCATTTGAGCCTTCGGTGGGGCTCCCTATGGGACCACGGAACGTGTGAGGGGTGTGCTGAAACGAGTGATGACGACGATGATGATGATGATGATGATGATGATGATGATGATGATGATGATGATGATGATGATGATGATGATGATGATGATATGATGATGATGATGATGATGATGATGATGATGATGATGCTGATGCTGATGCTGATGCTGATGCTGATGCTGCTGCTGTTGCTGCTGCTGATGATGATGTTGCTGCTGCTGCTGATGATGATGATGATGATGATGTTGCTGCTGCTGCTGCCGATGATGGTGATGATGATGATGATGATGATGATGATGATGATGATGATGATGATGATGATGATGATGCGGAGGAGGAGGAGGAGGAGGAGGAGGAGGAGGAGGAGGAGGGAGGGGGCAGCAGGAGGATGAGAAGTGAACGCGGGGACCGTCTCTTCAAAACGAGGACCCAACACCACAGGAAGGTTGAGAACAACAAACGATTGGGGCCGCGCTCTCGAAGCAACGGTCCCTCCTAAAAGTCCTTTGGCCCGCGCTCCTGAGGCTACGATCCATTGCCAAAAGCATTTGGTCCGGGCTACCCGGACCACGATCCCTTGTGCAAAGAAGAATCCACACTCACGAGCTTCCTGGACGGCGGAGACAGGCAACCGAGGCCGCATAGATGATCCAAGATGCCTCCAAGACGGCCCAAGACGGCACCAAGGCGGCCCGAGATGGCCTCAAGACGGCCCATGAGGCCCCCTGACGGCCAAAGAGGGCCACAAGAGGACCCGCAGAAGGGCCCGAAGAAACCAAAATCATTGACTTCGACTCGCTGTTCTAAAGATTTTGTCGTCGTCACCTTTTCGGGCTTCCTTCAATTTCAGACTGTCCTTGAGGCCTCCAAGATGTCCCCAAGACAGCCCAGGACAATTCCGAAATTACATAATCCCACCAGCCCTCTGGGCCGAGGTGGTTTATAGCGCTTCCTCATCCAAACCCCCTTCTTCCCCTCGGGGCTCAGCTGACCCGGGTCGGTCAGGCTTTGCTGGATCATGCAGGATCCTGCACCCAAGCCTGGGTCAGTGCAACTCTGGCTCTGCAGGATCCTGCAAGATCCGCCGCTCTGACTGACCCCCGTTTGAATTGACCCACGTCTCTTGAGCCCCGATCCCCCTGGGGGAGGGGTTTACCGTTGCTCCTGGTTGATCTGCAATCCCTCCCCCACTTGACCAGCGACAGACCCGAAACCAAGAGGCCCCCCGCCGCCACCCCTGTCAGAACCAAGCCGAGCTGCACTTTGCAGCAGCATCTGGACCATGTTCGGGCGCCCCGCGGTCACTCTGCACTGACCTGCTTGGCAAGGACGAGATGGCGGCGACGCGTTGCCCTGCGTTTGCAGGCCCACCCATCCCCGTCAAAAACAAGTGCGAACCGCACGCTGCGAAACCTGCGCGGGCGACCCGCGACCACTACTCTTAAGGTCGGGCCTGTCCCCCTGCAGGCGGATTTTGGGCGAAAAAGGAAACATATTCTAAAAATGCCCACAAACAGTCAAAAAATAACGGAGAAATCGTCCCCAGACTACTTCTCGACTACTTCTGAATACTCCTCCCGTAAAGGGACACGCCCGACCTAACACCTACTCTGCATCGTGCTTCTGCATGGGTGGCCGGGATGCCCTGGCACGCTTGGCGCGCGTCGCGGGCGGGCGTCGCGCACCTGGCGGGCGCCCGCAGCTGCTCCCGATGGCTGCCGCTGACGGCCCCTGCGCGTGCTGAGACTCTCGGAGGCAGGGGAGAGCACCGCACGTGTCCATGTGCGCCGATCGGCTGGGTCCTCGAAGAGGCTCCCGGGCGAATGAGCTTCATGCCCGCCCCTGGGCTGTTCGCCCCTATCGTCGCCGCCGAGACTCCAAGGCTACGGCAGGCTCGTGCGGCGTCGGCGCGCGCAAAGGTTTTCGACTCCGCGTCGATCGTTCAGCCTTGAATCGATCACGGCCCCGATCGTTGAAGGTTGAATTCAGTCCGGTCCGGTGGCGTTTCCATGTCCCTTGGTGCTTCCGCGTCGCAGAATTCAACCTTGAACGCCTTCGCCAGCGTCGCCAGCCCGCCAACGCCGCACGAATCTACCGTACTTCTGTGGTGGGAGCTCGGGTGGGCGTGAGCGAGACGCCAGTTCTTCGGGGGGGGAGAGGGGGGTGCTTGGTCCTTCCCCCTTCCCCCTGGGTCTGGACGGCGGGGGGCGGCGCGTCGTTGGAGCGAAGAGTAAGGTGGCCCAACCTGGCTCTGATGGGGCTACAAGATGGCCAACGGGAGCCCAGGATGACATCCCAAATGGAAGAAGATAGCGCAAGACCTATCAAGATGACCTCCAACATACTCCAAGAGCCCCCCAGACCCTCCCAATATAGCCTCAGGTGGCCACGGAACCCCCCAAAGAGGCCCCCAAGGGGCCTCACGATTGCTACAAGAGGGGCCCACGAGGGCTCCAAGACGGCCGCAAGAGCGCCCAAGAGCGCCCCAAGAGCGCAAAAAGAGAGAGGATTTTAGGGGGCCCATGGGGGCAAGGCAAATTGAGACCCCGGAGTTCGCTCAAGGATAAAACCATTGAAAAACAATTAGTTGTTCAAGGGATTCACCATCTCGGGGCCGTCCTTGGGACGCCTTCGGGCCAACATGGCTCCAAGATGGCTTCAAAGAGCCCAGGATAGCTCACAAATTCTCAACTTATCTCAAGATGGCTCAAGATGGCCGCCAGTACGCCTGCACGAGGCCTCAAAGCCGCTCCAAGACAGCTCTAAGTGGCCACGGAGCTCCCTGATGAGGCCCCCAAGAAGCCAAAATCTGTCCCAACCTATGGGGCAAAATAATGTGTACCCGTCTCGCTCTCTCGCTTCCAATGGCCTCCGAGGACTCAAGATTGCTCCAAGATAGCCCAAGAGAGCGCCAAGAGGGGCTGGCGAAGGCCCCAAGACGGCCCCAAGACCGCTCAGTCGCGCCCCAAGAGGGCGGCAAGCGACGACTGCTGGGGCTCAAGAATGGTATGGGGCCTCCAAGAGAGCCCCAAGACGCCCGAAAGAAGGCTCCAGAAGCTTCCAAAAGAGATCCAAGAGGGCCCCAAGATGGCCTCCGAGAAGCCCTCAGAGCAAAGGTACGCAAGTTCATATATGTTGAGATCGCAGTCGTCGTCGTCGGCATCCTCATCCCTCTCCTCCGCCCTTACTCGTTCGACAGGTCCGCGAACACATGTGTTTCGCTCTTGGGACTGCTGAGGATGACTCCAAAGTCGGATTTCACGTCGTCCCCAGCTCTTGGTTCCAATTCATACTCCCCCACTTCCCTGATCGAAGCAATCTAGACGCTTCGCGTATCCCCACCGGCATCAGTGGACATATCGGACTCCCTCCCATGGCTAGGCGCAGACGCCAAGGCCCAGGATCGCTTCACCAAAGCCGGAACGAGCAATCCCCCTGGGCCCAGGACCGCGGGCGGTACCGCTTCCGCGACTGAGCGTGCTCCCAGGTCCCTCGCACAGCTTATGGAGCTCTTGCCAGATCTGCCAGTACCGCAGGGCCCGCTCCTGGACAACAGGAACGTTAACCACCTCACCCTGAGCCCAAATGACCCCAGGTGCGGACCAGGCAGTGGTGGACTGTACGCTCAGCGCCTGTTGGTAACCTACCTCCGCGACTTCCACCCCGGGCTGGACTACATCTGGAGACAGTTCTGTCTTGCTAACTGCGACAGCAGCATCCCAGAACCTAGGTGCGATGAACACGCGTTGCCGAACGACTTTCTGACCGAGTTCCTCAGGACGATATACGGCGACTGCATCCCAGAGAACTGCATTCCACCCAACCAGCCCTGGGAGGGTAAGCGCGTAGCCGCAGCAAGAGTCGTCGCACACCTCACCAACGGCGAGAAGCATAGGGAGTCCTGGGTGAAATACGCCGCGCTCCTGGCCCCGGCAAGCGGCCTTAGTCCCATCAGACACGAGATGGGCACGCTGACGAGTTTCCTACTCAGCCTCAGTGCCGATGCCCTAGCCTCCACGTCCATCACTTCCTTGGCTGAGTCGCCCCCACCAATCGCACAGACCACGAGTGAGGACAGGCCGGACACCCCTACGGTTGCCGATACGGATAAGTCCCTGGGTACGAGAGACAACGACTCGCGTATGGGCCTCCCTGACCCGCCCGACCACACCGTCAAGGACGAGAGCGGTGAAGATGTGATCCCCCCCACGGAAAAGGTGGAGTCACCCGACTACGGAGAAGGCGAGCCCCCTCCTCCTGTTACCTGCTCGGACTCGACCACGGAGGTCGACGGCAACGGCACAAGCGATAAGGTGCCACAGCGGA